GCTTCACCTTTTGACTATTCATATAATCGTCAATTATTTTTGAGCTATATTTAAATAAAATAAAAAGATCTTGTAGTCTTTCTGCACATTCAGAATTTTATTATTAGCGTAGTTAAATTTGACATACATTATATCATATTTCAATTGGTATAAATTAAAATTAATGTAAACTGTAGATTAATGTATAATGATAACATCAAGTTCTTCTAAATGTAACTATTAAAATTATATTATCTTTAAGTGAATTTAAAGAAAATAAAACTTATGAAAAAAAATATTACCGTATCATACTATTTTTATTAATTATTTAGTTCATCAATTTTTAGTATAAAAATGGAAACTAGCGAAACTCTTTTACAATCTCAAACAAGTAAAAAAAAAAAAAAAATTCATAACTATCCTGAGGAGTCGATTGTTGAATATTCAGAAATTGGGCGAAGTTATACTTATAATATTATTAAAGAAGGACAATATCTGCCTACTACTTATCTGAAATATACACAATGGCAAAATGGATTTAGAATTCCTGATAATTATGAAGTAAAATCTAGTTGGGAGAAGTCTAAGAACAAATATTTAGTTAGATGTATAATTAAATATATAGAAAAAAATCTAGTTTATTGAATATATTATGGGCATAAGTTTTAATACCATATAAAATCAGAAAAGTCTTGTTCAGATGCAGCAAATTTGTATGCTAAGGTATGATTAAAAATTATATTTAATTATATTGATATATTTGTTAATAGAGATAGTTTAATATATATAATAGGCCTTAGATTTGAAAACCAAAACATGTTATTCAGGACCACAAGTATTTGGTCTTCAATTAGTTAGAAATACTTCAACAAATAAGAGATACTAAAAGGCGAGCAACAGTTTTAAAACCATTTGATAATTTAACTTCAACTGAACAAAATAATCGAGCTAAGAAAGTCGCAAAATCTGTATATGAAATATTTGATCAAATAGCAACTAAAAATTGTCATCCAAAAGATAAACCTAATTTAACGTCAATTGGATTTGATATTAAAGATCAATCCTTTTACTTTAATATTGATGAGAAAAATGTCGAAGATACAAAAAATAAAACAAGAGCTGTTGTTCAAGCATGTGATAAAGGTCAAGTAACATGAGAAGGGTATCGAGCTTTAGCTTCAATTAGTTATGATTTACCATGTGAATGGAAAGTGTCTTTAGAAAAAAAAACATTATATATGATATAAATGAAGTTATACCAATTTCACTTATTAATATAAATACATCACTATTAGATAATTCTATAAATTCAGAAGTACATATTGATAATACTGAAATTATTAACAATATGCAACAATCAATTGGAAAAGGTGAATGGCAAAATATTATTGATATATTAAAATATATTATACCGGATCTTGTTAAAAGAGAAGTATTAGATATAACAGATCCTATAATTTATTTGCAGCTATCTGGTGATAGAAGAAATATCAGAAAGAAAGTAAAGCACGTAATGGTTACTTTTTCAATACTTAATGATAAAGATAAACTATATCAACCTGAAGGGCATTATACAGTAATTTTATATCCTGGTATCGAAAAGTATGAAATATTGCATAATGCATTAGAATCTTTAATTAAAGAATTGAAAAAGCTAACAGAAGAGGGATTAAAAGATAATTAAGATATAACATGGAAAATTGAACTTTATTTCTCTTCTGATTGGAAATTCCTTGCAATTTGCTTAGGAATAAATGCTGCTAATAGCAAATACTTCTGTCCATGGTATGAAATATCTAAAGAACAGCAGGGTGATTTTTTATATGAATAGACAATTAGTAAAACTATGAATCAAATTCGTAACAATTATAAATTTTACAAAGGTCATATTAAACCAGCATTGTTTGATATGATTCCACTACAAAATTGGGTTCCAGATAAGTTATACATAATGTTATACATTACAGATGTTCTTTGGTGATTAGTACTTGATGAACTTAAATCTAGAAATACTTGGAGAGATAAAGCAAGAAATATAATAGCTGAAGAAATGAAACATATTGGTGTTAAGTTTTATTTTTGGCTTGAAACTGGATCTACTAATTAGCAATACACTTTTTTAATGGGTCAAGATAAATTGACTGTACTTCAACACTTTAATTTAACTAAACTTTTTTCACGTACTCGAGCAATCAAATTCGAAGTTTATAGAATAATTTTTATTTACTTCACAAAGCAATAAAAGATTTCAAAACTAATGCAGAACAATTCTCTAAGGATGCACGTGCATGGTTATATCAGTTTTTAGATTCTGACTTTTATCAAACAAGTGATGTAATACTATATATATATGTACTAGTATATCATATTCCAGAAATAATGCGAATTCATAGTCACTTTGGCTTGGCAGCATTTTCTTGCTCTGCAATAGAAAAGAAAAATCATCAACAAGTTTCACATTTTTTTAGAAAAACAACAAAAGATGGTGATAGAAAAGGAAAAAAGTCAGCAATTGTTGATATTCTTGAATATGAAAATAGAGTTTTATATTTTAATAATCATAATGAAATTAATTTATTTCTACCAAAGCGATTACGTATTAATTAAATCTATTTAGCTATTTATTTAAATAATTATTAGTTATTAATATACCGAGAGTAATAAAAAAACCATTATTGCGATATATAGTATTTAGTGTAATTTTAATATTAAATAGTTGTTTAATCATAACAATAGTAATTTTCATAATATTAATAATAATTCTTTAAAATATTATTTAAGATTCAAGTTCTAACTAATAAATATATGAATTAAATATAATATTATATTAGATACTGTTAATATAATAAGATCAAATTTTAATACAAGTCACTCTCATTATAGTGAACTCTTAATATAGTAAAGACTAATTAAAATCTCAATATAGTGAAGTTAAGCTCAAAACCAGTCTATATTAAATTCTCTCGATATAGTGAATTTACTAATAAAGCTCTCGATATAGTGAATTTTTTAAAATTTTTTATTAATAGAATAGATCACTTCACTATAACGAGAGTGACTTGTATAAGAGTAACTTATATATAATAATTATTAAAAATTCTAATAGAATA